ACAGTTATGTCCACCAAACAAGAAAGTTCACCTTAACACTTTTGCTACACGCGTCAAGTTCACTTTTCATATGGGACTTTTGTTTGACTTTGAAATACATCACTATCAGAATCTAACATTAATTTGTTTCAAGTGGAATATTCAGTATGAGCTTTATTGAATCCCGTTAGTGATATGACTATTTTCATGATGACCAAATTTGAGACATTTTGTTGCACTATCGTGACCTAGTCATGAGACCACGTTATAACAAAGTCTAATATCACGACAATATATCTTCTGCCTCCCAAGGAATCGCATGAATCACAAAAGCCATAACATTTAGCGTCATGATCTTCCAAAAAACATTTATCATCCTATCAAGCGTCTAATAAAAGAATCTCGATTGTTAATGTGTCCCATGCAATAAGTTTCGAGGTTCCGATGTCAATCGAACACGTTGTAATCCCATGTCATAACGTTTAATATTCAACTTAAGGCGCACAAATCTAATTTTGAAGCGACTACTGAATAAATCAAAAGCGCGGACAGCCGGGCTGGGTGTAAATGATATAAATAAAATCAACCTGGGAATACCGTGGCTATTTATCATCCAGCTAAAATACCTTAGCCTTCTTGCCCCCACTTGGCCCCATTAATAACACGGGGAAAACTCATTTTCGTTCGGTTGAGAATGCTGCGTGCTCGGCTTACACCTTCCGTCGTGAACCTTCTATCGCTCGTGAGAACGTCCAAATACAGAGGAATCTTACGATTCCGAAACGATTTCACCGGCTGTCCATATTGATTTATTGCCGATACTGCGAGAGAGCGTAATAATTCCTGTATCGAATGGAAAGTGGGTAATTGATGAGATTGGCGAGTAGTAAAATGGAGTTTTAGAGACGTGCCGAGTTACTTATGCGTACTGTGCTCTGATACCGGTGAACGGCTGACAGCTGGACTTTAACTTTCTCCTTAGGGTGCGTTTTCACGGGACAGTTTTGCTAGTTGTGACACTGATATTTTCCGAGTGACCTGGTTTTGGTGACCTCTCCTCAGCACAGTTATGTCCACCAAACAAGAAAGTTCACCTTAACACTTTTGCTACACGCGTCAAGTTCACTTTTCATATGGGACTTTTGTTTGACTTTGAAATACATCACTATCAGAATCTAACATTAATTTGTTTCAAGTGGAATATTCAGTATGAGCTTTATTGAATCCCGTTAGTGATATGACTATTTTCATGATGACCAAATTTGAGACATTTTGTTGCACTATCGTGACCTAGTCATGAGACCACGTTATAACAAAGTCTAATATCACGACAATATATCTTCTGCCTCCCAAGGAATCGCATGAATCACAAAAGCCATAACATTTAGCGTCATGATCTTCCAAAAAACATTTATCATCCTATCAAGCGTCTAATAAAAGAATCTCGATTGTTAATGTGTCCCATGCAATAAGTTTCGAGGTTCCGATGTCAATCGAACACGTTGTAATCCCATGTCATAACGTTTAATATTCAACTTAAGGCGCACAAATCTAATTTTGAAGCGACTACTGAATAAATCATGAAACGATCAGTCCTTTTGTCCACGGGCCACACCGCAAACCGCATCAATAATGGACAATGTATAAACAGACACCCGCAACGGGTAGATAAACCAAAGAAAAACCATAGGTCTTCCTTTTACGCGATACGTAAACATACACGCTCGAAAATTCGTGGCATCCACCGTGTGCTGCCCGGGGGACGAAGCGTTTAAACAAATATTTTCCCTGGGAAACGTTCAGACCGCACCAAGACCCTACGATCTTCTTTAAATATTTCTGTCGGATAAATATATCCGTTGGCAGAACACACGACCGTGAATCATTCTATGGCCTATCGATCTTCGTCGATCTCGCTGATGACGTTTGAGAACCACTGGCGTATCTCGTAAGCCTCGTGCTATCGAGACGAAAGATCCGAGCGTGATTGAAGACCGATGGCTCGGTCATAGGTGGCTGGTTCAAGAGGAAGAAAGATCTGGCGAATGCATAGTTCTCGAGGATCTTGGCTGACACTCTGGGAACCATTCAGATCTGATTTAACATATTTGAATATTGTAACAGGCATTTCGCGCCGCGGAATACATTTCCAACGAACTGATGTGGTTAGCGAGTACAGTAGACGTTCGTTATAGTGTCACTGGTGACTGGGGTGATCAACTTGTGGCAGTCGATGTGTAGCGCCAAATTCTCTAGCTTCAGTATTATCAAATCTCCGGACTTTCATGTTCGTAGATCTTCAAATCTTCACAATCTCAAATTGCCAAATGGGCAAATTATTGAATTCTCAAATCACCAAATTCCGAAATCTTCGAATTCTTAAATCGTCCAAATTTTCAAAACGACAAACTCTCACATCTTCGAATTCTCAAATCACCAAATTCTAAAATACCCAAATTCTAAAATACCCAAATTTTAAAATCCCCGAATTCTCAAATTCTCAAATTCTCAAACCCCCAAATCCTTAAACCCCCAAATTCTCAAACCCTCAAATTCTCAAATACTTTCATATCCCACATTAAACACCCATAATTACTAAATTTCAAACACGTCGAAACCACACTCCATTTTCACTGCCCAAAAAATAATTCTCCTAAAATATCAGTTTTTTTTACAAACAGTATATTCACGAAAGCAACACGTTTTAACGCGTATTTTCCGCGCGAAAGATACTTGTTAATCATCATTTAGCCGGCTGGCTGTTATTGCCCCGCCATACGTCGACAGATTTTTATCACGAGCCGTGCAAAATTCGATTCACCAACGGGGCGTTAGTTCGACGTTCCCAGGAAGCGTCGTCCTCCCGCGCGATCTTTATTAAAATTCATACCAGCGCCGTACACAGCGTGTGTAATTAATTACTTTGCCGCGTTTAAATCAGCCTTCCCATTGCCCCCGTTAATAAATAACCGAGCAACAACAGCGAGCACATCGCACCACAAGAAGTCGTTCTCACCGTGGACGGCCGACTCTATTTATCACCGGAACATCCGAAATACCGGAAACCAGCCTGTACCCAACTTTCTCACCTACCTCACCTTGCAATTGAACAGTGGAAATAAACAAGGCCATTAATGCCTTTTTAAAAAAAACTACCTGTATTCGTTTAAGAGGTATACACAGGAAAACTAGTGTCGTGAATAGAAATGTCATTACAATTTTTGATAGATTTTATAAGTAGGCGATTTTTATAAATATAGGCAATATTTTGATGTTACAAAATTGTGTTCAAACTTTATTATTTTATGAAAGGAATTTTTGTATAAATGTCAACTTTATAAACATGTAAATGTCAACGTTAGCAAATATGAACGGTCATATATTACAAGCAGTAATATAGCTTTGACATATTTTGTCAAGAGATATTTTGATAAATAGTCCCATCTCTAACATTACCTGTAAAGTCTTGCACCGTTCCATTATTCGTAATCCTCGCAGATAGAGTCAGAAGAACGTTTAAACATCGCGCGTTTTATTATTAGCCAGATCGTGATTGGAGAAAGAAAAAGGAAGGAGTTACATGTGGGTCTCGTACGCTTATGCTCGCGCTATCGAGACGAAAGATCCGAGCGTGATTGAAGACCGATGGCCTGGCCATAGGTGCTCGGCGAGGAGAGGGAACCAAGAAGAAGAAGAGGAGGGCAGAGCGAACGAGAATGCGACCGATAAATCGTATCGTGATACAGCGAATCCTTGCCATGGAACGTGGGCGACCCCGCTTCATTTGCGTGCACGCGTGTGCGTTTAAGGACACGCGTGACACCCAACTTCGCGTGAAAGAAAATCTCGTGTTTCTGACTCGGCTTGGTGAAGTTGTTTTGGCAAATGAAGATTTCGCCTTTTAGGACAAATGACGTGAAGGATGAACATAGACATAGAGAATACAAGGGTGATAAAGGACAGAACGATGGGCCTAGAAAATGTAAACTGAACGTCATTCTGAAGTTTAGAGAAGACCTTTCGAAGAATTTCAAAATTACGTTCATGTGGTTTAGACAAAAATAACAAACTCCCTTAAGAGTCTTCTTTTAAACAGACGTGCGCTTTTATGGATGGAGAGGATTAGCGAAGGTCGCGAAGATAGTTGAAAGCCTAAAACCTCTTATTAACGTTACCATAAAGGACGATAATACGAACGACGAGAGGACTTATACCGCCCGGTACGAAGTACTCGGGTACCCTTCAATTATTGATAGTTTCGAGGAGCTAATTTGTGTAAAGTTTCAGCTGCCTTGCTCTGAGGACCATTTAGGATATTACTTGGGGTATAGTCATCGAGCCGGGGAAAATGTATCCGTATACTTAATGGAGAATCTGATAAGTTGTAGACGTAAGAGGTTGTAACGAAAACCGTGGAAATAGAGTCCAGGTGTGGGTTTAATGTAATGAATCGAACGAAAGTGTTTCGCGTGTTGTCTAAATATTTTGATGGTTGAGTAAAATACATTTGTCTCGTGCAAACGCATCCGATTTTTACGAGGTTCTTTTCCCAGATGCGACACCCGAAACATAACGCAACACGCCGCGGAAATTTGTTTTCTTTGATATGGACGTTCAATACGGGGCTTGTTTATTTGAACGTCGTGCACGGTTTGTCGGCTTTGGTTGCGTGTTTGAAGAGGACTCGGGACCCGAGAGCGATGAAAAGTGGAGCTAGTTTTCCCAGTTATTTATATTCCGTCGTTTATACATTTTATTTCTGACCGGGGCTTTTGCTGCTGGGTACATGCATCTGTGGTTGTTTAACTTTTACTCGGCTACCGTATAATTGATCGAGTTACGTTGCCGAGATTTGTTGCGTTCATGGCGCGCAATATTTCTTGCCTTTCTTATAAAATTTCAACCGCTACTTTTATCGTGACTTTTCGCGAAACGATTACTCAAGACTTTGATAAAGCACCCCTCGATTACGAGATCTATTTCGAAAATTCTATTAACCGACATCATTTTTCTCTTTGCAGGTAAGCTACACTTTATCTACAACCGATTCGAGAAACACGCAGATCACAGGAACACGTGGCAAGGTAACGTAATAGTTGCTGCACGAACACCGGAAACGATTTAGATACGCCAATTCGCGTACACCGTGGTATCCATTCATTCGATAACAATTTTAATTAACAAATTCATTTTATTCTCTCGCGGCCTGTTCAGAATCTAATTTTTCAACGTCGATAGCGAATAACTTGCGTTTCGCGACATTAAGCTTATCTTTCGTGACAAAGATACATTGGAACTACTGTACGCACGGTCGAGCTCGATTTTTACCAGCACCATGGACCGTGGCTCGAAGAGAACCGAGACGATTCTTATTTTTTGTCGCGCGACGTAAAACACGAAACTACGCGGTCGCGGCGTGCCGTGGAAATTTCGTTCTCCCGTTGTTTCATATCGGTCGGCTCGCGTGATTTATACTTTTAGTTTCTGTTTTACGGTCGTCCAAGTTTGTTGCTCGTGAAAAATAAAATCCGTGATATATTGCTTAATATGGCCACCCGAGCTGGAACAACGCCATCGACGACGACTGTTGCTAGATTCCTTTTTAAATGATTCGTATTGTTCGCGACTCTAATTCAATAATTATCGATCTCAAACATTTTTAAACTCATTTTCTTCGTAAATTTCTAGGTAAATCATTATATAATCTTTTACGATAATAAAAGACTCATAGGAGTTTAAGGACTCATAGGATTTGAAATTCCAAGAAGATTTCGAAACTCGGTGTTGCAAGCTCATCTAGATTTGTAAGCCCCCGCTCCCTCCCTATTTCTCACGTACACGAGAAGCACGAAATTACGTGTTATCGAGCAGCTATACCATCTAATGTACGTATCAGGTTCTTCATTCGCCGTGCATCAACCTCGAACCGGACGAAGGAACGGTCACGTAGATCGTTTCGCGTTTCTCGTCGCGGTTTACCTTGTTATGCCTCGTACCGGTTGCGTTCTCGGAGGGCTTATCGTTGTTGCGAAATTGTTGCTCGGGATGACAAACATTAATACACCGCGTTGATAAGCCGACCAAACGACACCATTAATCAGGAGCCTTTTTTTTCCTACTCGAATCATGGATCATTCATCGCGATACGTTTGTTTCTGCGAGCGTGCTATAAATCAGATCTATGGTAACCAACCGGAGAATGGAATACACGAACGCGAACGAACTAGATGGAACATCATAGTTTGTTACTTGTGTTGGTAGAGAGAACCAAATCCTTCAAGCCTCTTTTTGGTACTTGAACTGTAACTTGATACTTTTCAAACTTTCCAGCCCTGAACTCTTCAATCGATACTTTCTGATACTCACTATATACATTATTTTAACACAGGTGGATTTAAAGTACATGTTGCAATTGAAACCTATTAATGAACAACTATATTCACAAGTTTTATGTTAAAAGAAACTTGAATTTACAATGAATATATACGAGGTATGACAGAAAGTATCTCCTACTCGAAGCTCATTCTAAAATTATCCAAAATAATATAAAATAGACAAAGTGAACAAGATTATTGAAATGAACCAAATGGAGAATGTTCATGGATTAAGGTACATTACAAAATAAAACGGAGGTAAGAAAGTTCGAAATAAAAGTAACGACGTTTTCAATCAAAAGAGATAATCTTAATTGTCGTTGTTCGACGCGAGGAAGCTATTGTGGGGTGAGCGAGAAGAAATTGAAAATTACTCGTAAACAGGCTCATTAGCGTGGCAACGGAATAAATCTCATCTCCGCTTTGATCGAGCACGATTAGCTCGTAACATCGGTAATTACGGATCGACCGTGAACCGGCCGCTTATTGTCCAGCATTATCGCGACGGTTACGGTTCATTACAGCCCCGTTTCTCCGTGTTACAGTCTCGACAAATTTAGCAGCGCGTTTCGTATAAACCGGCGCGGAGCCCTTGCTACCGCCCGGGGTGAGACCATAGTTACCACTATAATGCTCGACGATAGCCTGGGAAATAGTAGCGGCATAATAGTGGACGCGGTGCCAGATTGCTGGGAAAATTAATTACGCGGCGCGCGTTTAGTCGGTGCAACGAGAGCAACATCGTGGCCGTAATTGCATATTGCAGCGGTCCGTACACGTGCCTAAGAAGTTATTTAATTCATTAGTTCGATGATATGTAACCGACAAATTTACAGAATTGCTGACCTTTCACGAATGATTAATGCTTCGCGCTCACATCGTGTAATTATTCTGCAGATGGACTTTAAAGACATTAAACAAGTTGATCTTTTGTGGAATATGTAGAATCACTATGTTTATACAGTTTGGAAACTTAACTCCTTGTTAATAGAATGTTTGCACATTAATGACTGGTCATGAGTTAACTCGTGTTTGTACATGCACCTTTCCAATTTTTTGAAGTCATAGTAATATATTATACTGAAAAAGCTTTCTTTATGACATTCACTCGTTTCATTATAAGGACACTTTTCTTGATACCCGAATTTATGTAATACTTTTAGTACATGCACGTATGTCAACCATAACGAATTCTTCAATGGTTTATCTGACTGTTGTAGTTTGTCATACTAAAAGAATTATCAAGTTATGTAGATGATATATGCAAAGTTTAATTTCGCCTTCACATTCAATTACACAGAGCCACAAGATAGCTCCAATTGCCAGTCAACGTGTTAACAAACCACAGTGGAACACGTAAGAAAATAATCTTTCTCCGAATGCGACCATGAACCAACAAAGTATATTACAAGGTTACAAGAAAAATGACCGTGTTCGCGTTAAATAGCAGCGGCTTGAATAACGGGTCAGTAAATCATCAACGCATAGCGTGCACTAAACGACCCAATCGAATAATTTCCGAGTAATTTATCCGGTCGCGATTATTTCACGGCACGTACGGACTAATTTCTCCGTGTCGCTGGTGCCGCAGTAATATCCTCCGAGGTTTTTCCGCCGTTGGAAAACTAATATTTCCGATGCGTCGCGACGATCGCGGCCCCGTTTCTCTCGCGCGAACGCGACGCCGGCTTAAAGCTCGCGCCTTAAGTGGCCGATAAAGCACGAAAACCTACAACCCCGAGTGGTCCGGTGTGTACACAACCTCCGTTCGCACACAGTCTCGCGAGGAAGCCGCGTGTGCGCTGAAAATCCACCCTTACCCGAGGGGTTGCCGGCAGCCGGTTGCTTCTTCTGCTTTAACACAATTCCCGGGCTCTTTTTAGCCGGTCTCGAATCGTCGGCTGGACGCTGTATACAAACAACGTTCGAACAAATGGCGGAGAGACACGTAAATAAGAGAAAACGGCGAAATGAGGGAGCAGCGATAAAAAAAAGAAGGGAGGGAGTAAGTAAGCAAAGAAAAGATGCGAGAATGAATGGACAGCTTCCAAGGGGGAAACGTAATTATTCGTGTGCTTGATGGAAAGGGGGTAAAAATAAAGGAAAGGCGAAAAGAAAGTAAGGAAGATGGGAAACGGAGGTAACATTAGGGGAATAAAGCAGGATGGCGCGAGCCGAGGGTTTTGCGGATGAATGAATGGACCCGGAGCGTAGAGTTTAGCGAACACGCTAGGATATGGAGAGAAAACGTCGAGCTGGGAGAGATCAGCGTGTAGCCGTGGATGAAGAGAAGAAAATGATGGCCGGGCGGAAGAAAAAGAGGAAGATAGGACCACGCGGGACTCGTATCCGCGGAAGAGACACGACCACTCCGAGGACGGTTTCCTCGGTCTTTTCGTGAGAAATTTACGGAGTTAAACGACCATCCAACCGTCTCGGACGACACAGACGTCGCGACGCCCTGTATTTCGTTCCATGATTTTCAAGTGTGTTCTCTGTGACGCTACCAATTTCAGTCTCCTCGGACGCTTTACTACATTCCCAGGGTGAACCTACCCCGTTCAAAATTTACATTCATGCGAGACGAGAAAATTGAGAAGCTGATCATTTACTGATTTCAGAAATTTGTTTACATTTCCAATATTCAAATAGTTATAGCTCATTTTCTGTATAAAAGATTACTCCATAATTTCTTAAGTGTCCTTCCCCCATAATGCTGTATTCTCTATGAAAACCTGGTTCAATCGAAAAATTCTAATTGTGTTCGAGAGCTGCAAGAGTTCGAAATGCGATGCGTGGGTCACGATGGACCCGTATCGTTGTTAATACCTTTATTAAACGCTGAGCGTGATTCACGATGTTATTATCGTTAACGGCGGCCGGTGTAGAGCGCGACTCCGTTTATCCGGTATTAATTAGCAACGTCATTATCATTCGGCTACCATATTCGTCTGACATTCAGCAGGATTTTTATTGGCTCGTTTCTCACGCGCGGTATAAACACGAGGAACGAAAGCGGTCGCTCGCCAAGCGGAGCCAAGCGAGAAACTTAACGGCCAAGCTCTTAAACCTCCCATTTACGGTGACGCCGAGCTGTAAATTGCCGATCGATAGGATTATACGAACGTGTAATTAAGGGCCACGTTTACGGGCGTGTGTGGCGGCTGTGCGTCGCGAATTAGTTCGGCAAGTACCAACGGGGGCCCTGGCCTCTTTCTCCTCTCGAAAAGCAAATAGAATCGCGATAAAACGAACGAGATATGGGAACTAGTTTTTCACCGAGAGGCGCGCGAGCTGCGCGAAACGCCTCGTCGCGTTTTTAACCTTTTTCTTCCTTCGTCGCGTTTCAACGGCCGCGTAATTTGTTCGGGAGAAAAGGTGTTACCAAAAAGAAGTTAAACTCGTTAACCGGCTGCGGGAAAGGGGACGATAATAAAAGGATGCGTCGCGCCTTTGTTAAGGAACCTGTGTACGCTCGCAATAAAGACCCCCGGGCAATTTTGTTGCGACGATGTTCAACCGTATCAAACAAGTTTCGCGACCATCAATTGAGAATGTTTGTGGAATATCGACAAGATTTTGCTTTGTCACGCTGTGTATCGATCATTTTCTACAAACTTTTTGTTGGTAAACTTTTATTGCTTCCCACTGTCTTAAAAAATTTTATAATATTTATAATTCTGTGTAATGATGTTCTTGTCGAAGCTTCT